TTTTTTTTTTTTTTTTAATAAAGATAGTCAAAAAAAGTATTCTTCTCAATGATTTTATAACATTTATCAAATATTAATCAGAAATGCAAAGCAATTAAAAATTATTAGCAAAAAGCTCGCGCTACAGCAATTAACTTAAGGGTTTGTTTTAACCTCTAAACACACGGAAAAGCATTTATAAAAAAACATCTTTTATTTTCATTAATTATAAGGAATCCAAAACCTATTAAAATATAAAAAAAGAACGTTTTCATAGGAAAACTTTTTTTTATAAATTGACACATTCAGATCCGACGAATAAATTCTATTGTAAGGAACGTGTTTATATAAAGAATATAATTTCTATTACTAATACTATTAAATTATAAAGTATTAATAAGTAATAAAATTTAATAACTTATATATAAATATATATATGTATATGTGCAATACACATAATTAAATTTATGACACGACACAGATTACGAACAGGATGGTCCGTGAAAACAGGATCTTTCGAATCCCATGGATGGGGAGAGTATCCAAATTCTTATATAAGCGGTTCCAATCGTTGCGGACAATCTTGTTTGCTCACGGAAGATGAACGACAAAGCATTATTCAGGTAAATCTCTCTCATAATAAAGCAATTTAGAACATGTTAAAACTTTTCTTTCAACTTTTTCATTATTGCTTTAATACAAAACGAATTTTGACACATTGTAATAAAACTTTTCTTTCTTTTGTAACATTAGAAGATATTAAATTACATTCAAAGAAATAGCTATGTTTCTATTTGGGATTACAAGCATTTTTATCAAGCATTGATCCAAAATAATTGAGGGCGATAAATGAAGCGATATGACTTACATCCATATTTAACGATCAAGAAAATAGCATGCAATATATTTAATATATTCAAGAGAATGTTCGTGGAATTTCCAGATTATTTATGTGGATATTAAATAATTCCAAGGCTCTTTTCTCCGTAATCAAAAGTCTCCATAACAGTATAACCACATTTCTCTTTAATCTATTCGATTATACAACTTTTATCCTTTCATCTTCAAACTGCAAAACCATGTTAATAATTACAGTTTCAAACGAAATTAAAATTCATTAAACAATATTATTTCGATATACTTAGGTTCTAATACTATAGATATAGGGAAATGGATTCTGTATTTATTCGCGACAATACGATTCGTGAAATACTAATTATAAAATAAACGCGTAATTAAAATTATAAAATAAATACGTAATTAGCATAAAACATATTACGCGGTATATCTATAGCAGAGAAAATTGAAGAGCTTGATATTGATCTCATTTTTATTTTTTTTTTTAAACCCGAGTAAATAAATTTTGTAAATGTAATTGAAAAAATTACATTTATATAATTCAGTCTTTAAATTCTTAGAGAGGAAGCATCGTTGAACAGCAGCTTCTAAATTAGATTTTATCAGAATTGGATTGATTTCAATTTTTAGCTCCAAGTTGATGTTTCTACAGGTGATACAGAGAGCCGAGGCTCTGGATCTGTCAGAGCAGGAGCGAGTCGGTAGACTCGCCTCTACTCGCCTCGTCTCTATTTTTTTTAAAACTCGAGTAAATAAATTTTGTACAATTGAAAAAAATTAGATTTATATAATCCAATCTTTAAATTCTCAGAGAGGAAGCATCGTTGAACAGAATCTTCTAAATTAGATTTTATCAGAATTAGATTGATTTCGATTTTTGGCTTCAAGTTGACGTTTCTACAGGTGATACAGAGAGCCGAGGCTCTGGATCTATCGGAGCAAGAGCGAGTCGGTAGACTCGTTGAGAGACTGGAGAACATGAAACGGAATGTTTGCATCGTGACGTCGACTAGGTCGAACGAGAGGCGCGGTTGTGGAAGTCGATGCTCAGGTGGAGGTGCCCGTTGCGTCTGTTCGTGCGCTCTCTGCGGCGAAAAATTCGGCGCAGTGCTAGGGGCGAGTGCGAACTTCTGCAAGGACTGTCGCAGGTACATCTGTCAGAAGTGCGGCATCGAGGCCACGAGGCTTAATCTGCCGAAGGGAAACGGCGACAAAAATGACACGACCGCTTCGTCGCGCAGCTCGTTGCGTCTCATGAGAATCGCTCAGGAGCGAATGGCCGTGCAAAGAATCGTTCAAAGATCCCATGGCAACGCGCAGAAGCAGTTTCTCTGCCGGATTTGCGCCGAGACCAGGGAAATGTGGAAAAAGAGCGGTGCTTGGTTCTTCAAAGGCATGCCAAAGTACATTCTACCAGAGAAGAAGGTATGGAAGTAAATAAAGAAAAAAAGATTTTTATATACTGAAAAAAAATGTACTAAATCCAAAGAAATTTTTTTGTTATTTAAAAAAATTATTTATTTAAGTACTTGCAAAGGAATTAGTTATTTCAATCAAGCAGCAAATATATTTGAATTAGTAAAATATAAAATAAAAACAAAGTATGCTTTTATTTGCAAATAAAAAATATTTTTCGTATTTTTCTATTAAAATACACTGAAAATTATCTTCTATTTAAAAAATATTATTTTACTTGAATTAGAAAAATGTCAAATTTAAATTAAATTAAATCGTGTTCTGCGAAAATAAAATCCCGTGAGCAACTTGTTTTGTGAAGGACTGAAAAACTCTCATATACTGTAACTCTCATATAATTAAATTAGTTACACAAATAAACAGTTTGTTTTTTCTATTTTATATATGGTCATTTTAAAGATATTTTACTGGAAATTTCATGTGTGTGTCAAAAATTGTTTTAATTTTTTTAATTGAAAAGAAAATTAAGAAATACTGACCTAAATGATCAAATTAGAATGTCCTTTATAATATTTTATGATTTTTTATTCATAAAAAATAGTTTTGAGATTCAAAACTTATTTAAAATATTCAAATATCTGATGTGTAAAATTAATTGAACTAATCTGGAAAATTAGATCTCCTGCCTATCTATCGAAATAGTTTTCATGTATGTCATCAGCGCATATACAATCAGGATATTGGAACACATTACAACCACATTCCCATAAAGCTTGTTTTATGTATGACAGAAATCGAACAATATCTATCCGTGACACGTGGCACTCGAGTTTCACTGATTTCATATTGACATATATGTGTTATATATGTATGTCTCAATATTTGTTTCCTCTTTTTCGATAAATCATACTAACACGTTGTGCTCGATTTCCGTTAGTTTCCTATCAATATCAATAAATGTAACAAACGTCGATCGATTGCTAATTGTTCAACATAAAAGATCAGCAAAAAAGATATTTTGTGAAGTGTCCAATATTGATGGAAATATTGATCCTCTCAAAATCCTCAACAAAATTAAACTCTGTTCGAGTTCTTCATCGACAAATAATAATAAAAACACGTTACTTAGGAGCGTGGGTGGTCTCGACCTAGTCACAGAACGTCGACGTGGACGATAAGCAGATCTTTGGATTCAACCGACGCTCAGGATTCCTCGTCCGACGACGACGCGATGCGACGACTCGCGGTAAATCGCGGTCTTTCTATCTCGCCAACGAATCCATCGAGCACGAATCGTGAAAGCACCCCCACCAAACTGACGGTTTCCAGTCCCGCGAGCAGTACCCCATCGCCGAAAAGTCCTCGAGGGAGGCCGAACGGTCTGTCACCTTCGGGATATCGCGAGGACGCCGGTTCCGACAGACTGGACAAGTCCTGTCTGTCGATCGCCTCGCAATGCAGTCGACTTTCGCCCACGGGTTCAATCGGCACCCCACGATCAAGGACGAGCGGCAGGAGCCCAAGCGGCAAGAGTCCGAGCGGTCTGCAGACGGAACAACGCGTGTCCTTCGAGGACATGTTCGTGGACGACGAGAAGGCCAACGAAGCCGACGACGATGAGGAAGAGGATAGTGAGAACTCGAGCACTCCCAAGGACGTCTCCACCACCCTGGATCGATCGAAGGCCACTCAGGTACAATCTCTCAGGTAAGTAAGGGTGACGAACGGGGTGGAGGTTTGAACTTACACGAGGAATCGCTATCCTGCAGACTGAAGACGCCGACGATAACGACGTCGCCGGTGACGATGACGCCGACCACGCCGGTCAAACGGTTTCAGACTATGGGCAAGATCCTCGAGAGAAATACGGAACGGGACGCGAACAAATCCTGCTCGGATCAGGACAGCTCTTCCAGCGGGACTCGCAGCAACAGCCAAGTCAGGGCGCCAAGAACTCCGGAATATCCAAAAGGTCAATAAAATCGTTTTACTACACTGAAAAAAAATGTACTAAAACAAAGAAATTCTTTTTATTTAAAAAAATTTATTTATTTATATACTTGCAAAGGAATTAGTTATTTTAATATATATATATGTATATATATGTGTGTAGTTCCGAAAAGGGCCTACCTCCGATTTTGATGAAACTATGAAAAGCTTCCTTTCAAGTTAAAATGAAAGCCTTTAAAGGGAATTTTGGCGACTTCTATAAGAAAGCCATTTTTTAAGAGAAAATGGTAAAAAGTATAATAATTGTATATGCTGCTATATATGACACTTCAATTAGTATACAATCCAATTTGTTGATGTGTATGTAAAAACAATACATGTATGGACGGGGGAGGGGCACACTTCGTTTTGCATCCAAAGCACCGAGCAATATGAGCTAAACTTTGCTTCGTAGTTTCATCGATTTAAAGTTTCATCGAAATCGGAGGTAGGCTTTTCGGAACTTTATCCTCATATTTTTTGTTTTTAATGTCTGCAGCACATTTTCAGTAAATGTTGATTATATTTTACATTATAAAATTATTAATAAAAGATAATTTATGAAATGGCAAGAATGTATATATTGATGACCATCTTATCGAAATTTTTTATAGAATTTTCGTAAAGAAATACTCAAACGATTATAGTATTATAAATCATTAGAAAGGAGGCATTTTAGTCAGTTGACGACTAACGAATGCGAATAACAAAAAAATTTTCAAAAATTAATTTATATTTGGAATTTAACAAGATATTGTTTGATATTAATATCCTACAAATATTACGAGAAACGTAAAATTTAAATAAAAAAAAAGTCGTAAAAAAACTGTACTATATAACGATAAAAAGCCAATAGCTGCATAATCTAATTTATCTAATTTAAACGGAATCTCAAATTCAATATTGAAATAAAAA